CGTCTTCTTCTTCACAGACTCAGTGGACAAACTAAATTCAAGTCCATGACCATGTGGGTTCATGTTCACACACACACACACAGCTGTACATGTTGTCACGTGCACACTCACTCGTGCACGCTCCTCCAGTGTAAAGATCCTTTTTTTTTTGTGTTTGTTTGTTTTAAAGGGAGGAAATGGCCAAAGAAATGACTGAACTTCTGTCTGGGTTTGTAGCTCCTCAGTCAGACCAAACCAATCAACTCAGAGTCACTGGAATTCATCTGCAGCTGTCAATCATCACCTTTGTCTTTGACTTCTTCACGTTCTCCTCCTCCTCCTCCTCTTCCTCCTCTTCCTCCCTTCACTTCCTGTTCCTGCTGCAGTCACGTGACCACACTGAGAGTTGGGGGCGGACCTTACAGACCAGGAGAGTCTGTTAGCATGTTAGCGTGTCAAACGTAACGTGACGTCACCAACAAGCTCCGCCCCCAGGATTCCTCACTCGTTACTAACTTTTCTCCACTCTCTCTCTCCTGGGTTTGAGATTCCAGCCTAAGCCCCGCCTCCTGCACCTACCTTTACCTCTGAGTCTAAACTTCTGTCTCTCTGATGTCACTTCCTGTCACAGAGGTTCTCAGCTGCAGGCGTCCAAAGCTGCTGCCGGAACCAAGAAGTACGAGCTGAGCAAGTGGAAGTACGCCGAGCTCCGAGACGCCATCAACACGTCCTGTGGTGAGGGGGGGGGCAGGAGGGGGGGGGGGCAGAGACCGGGGTCAGATTGACCCCCGGGGGGGGGGGGGGGGGGGGGGGGGGGGGGTGGTGTGTTGTGGGGCGAGCTCCTGGCTGCCTGCAGAGAGGAGTTCCATCGTCGTCTCAAAGTTTATCACGCCTGGAAATCAAGGAACAAGAAGAGGAACACGACGGACGGAGAACAGAGAGACCGCGCCCCCAAGTCTGTCACCGACTACGGTAACACACACACACACACACACGGATACAGGAACACCACAGGGATGTTAACTCTGTGTGGGTGCGTGATGTGTGTGTGTGTGTGTGTGTGTGTGTTTCAGATCAAACTCTTCCTGTGAAAAATTCCTGTGAGTTTTTTAAATTGTTGTATTAACCTTTAGCCCCGCCCCCTGCTTCATTGTCCCGCCCATCTCTGTGGTAACCATGGTAACCACAAA